CCCAACAAAAATCTAATCGATCGGGCTGTTGAATGAGACGGGAACTTTCGCAGCAAAATCTCTGCAATCTCGAGGTAAACAAGCCGCTTCTTTCGAGAAGGCGCATTCAGCGGTCGCGGCCGCGTGGGCAAAGCACCAATCGTCTCCAAGTACTTGTGCTTGAAGCATATCAATGGATCCTGGGATTGTACTTTGAGGTTTTACTTCAAGCTGGTGTGTTTCTTCACAATTCACGCATTGGAAACAGATAGCCAGCGGAGAACATGTCATCAAACAATTGAACACTAAGCGGTAGGGGGTCCTGTGATAAGTCACGATCGCTTGCAAATCTCTTCAACAGCAAAACAGTGTCAAGTGGGTGTTCTTCACCCAGCGCTCCCCGTCCACTTTCTTCGATGCGAATGTTGCGAGGGACATCTGTCAGGGACAGAAACAGACTTGGAGGGCTAATTGACTCAATTCCCAATATGACCCGCAAGTTCATGCTTTTCTCATGTTCTAATTCATTGGTCATCTTAATGATGGTAAGTGGTTAGAGTGCTAACCATTGAGTTCTTTTTCGAGTCCTGTAAAATGGAAAGGATCTCCAACACTCAGAAATTCAATGCAATGATTTTGGAAAAGAAAACTTGTTCAGGTGATTGCACCTTTGCGAGGAAGAAAGATGCATGCATGGTGACCAGTCGCATCATCTCGCAAGCCGCCTGCGTAGGTCACTGGTGCTTTGCCCAGCCTGAGGGCAAAGCTGAGCGAGGTCTGGGAAGTTAACGAATTAACCACCACATGTTACTAAAGCAGTACATTGAAATCTACTTCACAGACCTGCAGGGGGGATTGCGCAGAAACAGCTCCCGACTTATGATCCAGCCACGCCCAACAAAGTTTCAGATCATTTTACTGTCATAGATTCTCCTTCCAAGAAAAGCCTGCCAAAACTCAAATAGTCAAGACACCATGTCTTGAAATTCCTTGTAGCCGAAATGTATTCAACACTCACGGATGCGTTTGGCCCCAGCCATGTTTGAATCTGGATTCGTCCAAGGATTTGCTGGAGCTTCCTGGGCTTCTTTTGGACACACAACACTGTGGCTCCACGAGGGACATGTTGTTTGGATCAATAAGTTTTAGAGTGTCTTTTCAAGAACACAATTAAACGAATTTAGAGCGTTTCAGGCACTCCAATCCCAAGGGGCTCAGCAATGTCTTCCGGGTCAGCCAGAACATCGATGTACCGAAAGCAAATCGCTAGTAATCCATAGATTTGATCTAAGTTGCAATGGGTGGTGGATCATTGGCTCAGTAGACAATCGGAAGCAGTCAGAATGAACCATAATTGAGACACAAACCGCCTGAGTTTGGAGCCAAGGAACCCAGTGCCCCGTGCGTGTGCCCCACTCTAGCGAACAATATTGCTGCCAGCTTCATTTTCTGGGATGAAGTAAGATGGCTGAGGTATTGGATCATAGTCGAGTTTTTGTTTTCCCTGCAGCAGTTGTCTGCCTTGGGGTGGATAAATGGTCAAAGAAGGTGCCCATACTATACATAATTTTTGGAGAATTGCCATCATGGCAATTTGTCATGACAATTGGAGAGCATCATGAATATCGTTAATATTCCATCTGTTTTGTTTGCATACCACAGTGAAAGTGCATCCAGGATTCGAAAATAAGGAGCTCGGACGGCATATCCCAGCTCTTCCGCTGGAACATTTGCGCCACCTCCTCCATGGTTCTGGCCAGGGTCCTCAGGCCAAACAACCCGGACGTGATATGCTAAGCTCTCACCTGTAGTTTGACAGCAAATGACCACTCAGAACTGTTAAACTTGAGGCAAGACTCTCCACTATCGTGGAGCTGTCCGATGGCACACGCGGGTCAAGTACATAAAGTTTTAACAGGGCCCCGTGGGCCCATATGCCCTGGACCTTACACTTTGGTTTGGGTAAGCACGCCATACTCTTGGAAGTACGGGTACCATGGTTCCGTGGGATCGCCCACTTCGACTGATCCATGCCATCCTAAGTGGGAGAAGTTGTTTATACACAAGATGCTGACTAAATGGTGAGGCAAGGAACCCTAACAAAAGGAGGTGACTGTGTTCCAGTAATCTGCAATGAACAGGAACAAATCAAATCTGACTGCATAGCTGAGATCGGCCCAGCATCGATGTGGAAAGTGAGCGGAGCTCCTTTCGTTTGGAGCGGTGTTTGCTCCTCAAGCCGAATAAATCAACATGTTTTGCATCCAGCAGCTTCACTGACCAAAAATCAAATTCAAGTAGAACCTGAACCTGTTTAAAAAGAACACGTTGAGTTTATCCACAGAGTTATCGTGAGTTGTGCTGTGTGCAAGACATGAGGATGGTCTCTAGCCTGGAGATACTGCTCCAACTCCCTGTCCATCTTCACCATATCAATGTGTTCCTTGTACGCCCGAGATACACCAAATAGCTTTTGTTTGTCCTCGGGTGTTGGATTCTGATTGGGCCGCACTGCCCAGTTGAGAAGATGGACAGATTACCACATGTTACATGATGTTTTAATTGCTCTTGATATGGAACAGCAAACGTCAATACAGCATCTACATGACAAGTTCAAATGCAAAATAATGTCAAAATTCTGAGGATCTTGTAAGGCCTAGAAACAGTTGCCGACTTGAACATATGTTTGAAGTCTTGGCAGCTGTCGCAACATCCGTGAGTGGATTCAGGTTGAAAACGTAATATGTTCGTCCACTTGCTTCTGTAGCTCTTCCAAAAATGACCATAACTTAGATGCCAGAAAGCAGGGTAGAAAAATTACCATCATCAGCTGTGAGCTTACAAACCGATCATATACATAACGGAACATGAGGGAACGGTTGAGCCATGGTGACAGCCAATGGCCCAAATCACGCCAAGCTGCCTCACGATAGGCCCCTTGTCCTGAACCATTTGATGCCAAAGCATCCTTATTGAGCCAGGAGCCAAATAGCGTGTTGGTAGATCTGAGAATGTTGTTGCGTTGCAAGTCTCGACGTACCTGATTGACTCATGAGTTTCAAGGAAACCTTAATCAAGTTAAATGGGACACATGACGTGATTTGTTTGCAAGTCAAAATGCTGGGTCCAAAAGCTTTGCAACCCCAGAACGTGCAAGCGTAGCTCCTGGTTGTCCTCGAGACGCTCATGTTCAACATATAGCTCATCACCAGGGTCAGAATCAGAAGATGATGCGCCTGAAGGAGACTTGTTGGGACAACCAACCAGATCATGAGAGTCTGTGAGACTGTGAGAGTCATAAGAAAGAGATTCAATTCAATTGGCGTTCAATCTAGAGCATGTTTACATTAAACAAGTGTCATACAAATTACGGGCCCCTCTCTGTGTTTGACATGGTGTCCTTCAGACACAGTATCCACCGGCTCTTCATCAAGTAAGACCACCATGCGTTGCTCTGATTTGCTCTTGGCTTTCGATCGAGGCTGAGCCCCACGCTGGAACCTAACGGAAGCTTGCTGGCAAGAGTTTTCCGAGAATGTGAAAAGACAACAGTGTGTCATGCATCCAATTGTTTTGCAAGATTGATGAACAAATCATGAGCATCTTTGGAATCAATGATTGCCAATGATTTGCCAGGCAGCTTCTCTGGCAGCATACCCCCTGCCTTCAAGTACAACTCCAATAAGAAGCGATCAACATCTCTCCTTTTTTTTGGGGCACCGGTTGTTGCCCTTAGCTGGAAGTGGGCCACCAAAAGTAAAGATTTCTTACTTGAACACTTGTAATTCGTTTTAGCTAAGTGAGAAACATGCACACAACCACAGCACAGTGAATATAGTGTCAAGCTACACCTCCCCAAACACGAAAGCGACGATCCTTCTGTCCAGCCAGTAGGCGTCTCACTCTAGAGTTCCCAAGGCCCAAAGATGCCACCACACATTTTGGAGACATGCGCTCACCCATCAGATACCATGTGCGTCGCGCCTTTCCAAAGCTTTGCACGGTATTGGTCACCTGGGCCGGCGCCAGAAGTCAGTCGCACACAGTTGTCAGCAGTTTGGATGGCACTCACAATATCTCACAATATGTTAAGTGTTGTTCTTCAACAAGACAACTCAGAAGTGACTCAGGATGCAGCAAACAGGTCTTGTGCACTCTTCGTGAGGGACCAAAACATTTGGAGAAAGTGAAGAAGAGTTGTCATGATTGACTTCAACTTCTGGAAGCAATCCTTTCTCTCGCACCGACACCTTTCCAGCGATTGAAGATGCTTCAAGCGATCTGCTGACATGCCGTTGGCAGATTGCCTGACAAAATCTCGGAATTTGTTGGCTGCGCCCAACAAAGGATAGTAAGTTTTCAATGTCAAGTGGCATGCAAGACCAGAACGCTGGCTAAAAAAAGTAAAAACGATGCTTGTGGCAATCGCGCAAGCTACTCATGGTGGATTGGAGTACGGCCCTTGGCAAAGAAAGATCTCTTGCTGTTGTTGTAATTTGGACGCTGTCTGCACCTCCTGTCGGCCTCTTTCGATTCTCCCA